ATTTGATCATTTTGAGTTTTTTCCTTGAGGATGGTTTCTATTTTTAGGCCTTTGTGGTCTGATAAATAGTTGACATAATTTTAATTTTCTTGAATTTGTTGAGGCTCTTTTTTTGTTTTATCATGTGGTCTGTCTTTGAAAATGTTCTATGTTCATTTGGAAAGAATGTGTATTTTGCTTTTTGGGGATGAGACGTTCTATATATATCAGTTAAAGTCCATTTGATCAAGGGAATTGTTCAATGCCTAAATATCCTTGTTGATATTTTTGTTTGGAAGATCTATTCATTTCTAACAGTGGGGTGTTAAAATGCCCATGTATAGGTGTATTGCTGACCATGTCATTCTTGAAGACCTCCAAGATTTTAAAAATATTTTTGGGTTCTCCTATGTTAGGTGCATATATGTTTATAATATTTATGTCTCCTTAATAAATTCTTCCCTTAGGTATTATGAAGTGTCCTTCTGTGTCTCTTTTTAAAGCTTTTGTTTTGAAGTCTATTTTGTCTGATATGAGTATTGCAACCCTGGATTTTTTTTCTGTCCATTTGCTTGGAATATTTTTTTCCAACCCTTCACTTTCAGTCTGTATAGGTCTTTTGTTCTAAGCTGAGTCTGTTGTAGGCAGCATATGAGTGGGTCATGATTTCTTATCCATTCAGCTATTCTATGTCTTTTGATTGGGGCATTTAATTCATTTATGTTTAAGGCTATTATTGATAGGTACTTATTCATTTCTCCCCCTTTGAAACTGTTTTCCTATCTCTCTAACTCTTTTATTCCTTATCTTAAAGTGATCCCTTTAGTATATCTTGCAGTACTGGTTTGGTGGAGGTATATTCTTTCAGCCTACTTTTGTCTGCAAAACTTCTTATTTCATCTTCCATTTTAATTAAGAGCCTTGCTGGGTATACTAGTCTTAGTTGTAGGCCTTTGCTTTTCATTGCTTGGAATAATTTTTGCCATTACTTTCTGGCTTGTAGTGTTTCTGTGGAGAAATCAGCTACTAGACTTATTGGGGTTCCCTTGTATGTTATTTCCTATTTCTCCCTTGCTGCCTCTAAGCTTTTCTCTTTGTTTTTAAACCTTGGGATTTTAATTATAATGTGTCTTGGAGTGGTCTTCTTTGGGTTCATCTTGATTGGGACCCCCTGAGTTTCCTGAACTTGTGTGGATTTCCCCCTCTCCAGGTTCATTATTTTTTCTGTCATTATTTTTTAAACAGGGTTTCTATCCCTTGCCCCTTCTCTTTTTCCTCTGGTATTCCTATGATTTGAATATTGTTGTGTTTCATGTTGTTTTGCAGTTCCCTAAAACTATCTTTTTATTTTTTGAGTCTTTGTTTTGTGCAGCTACTCCACCTGGGTGTTTCTTTGTATCTTGTCTTCCAGCTCACCCATTCAGTCCTCTGCTTCATCCAGTCGTTTGTTATTCCTTCTCTTGTATTTTTTATTTCAGAATTTGTTTCTTCATTTCTTCCTGGTTCTTGTTTATAGTTTCTGTTTCCTTTTTCATACTTTTGAAGTTCCCAGTCAGTTTCTTGTAGTTGTCTTTCTGTTCCTTGAGCATTTTTATCACCTTTGTTTTGAATCATATATCTAGTAGTTTGCTTGCCTCCATTTCATTTATTTCTTTTACTGGAGAGTCTTCTATTCCTTTGGTTATGGGTTCTTTCTTTGTCTCCCCATTTTAGGTAACTCTTTTTGTTTGTTTCTGTGATTCCTGATGGTCTGCTTTGCTAGCTGTCTTTGCAGGGTGAACTTTTGTGGTAGCTATTCTGTGGGACTCAGTGGTATGGTTTCTTTGATCTCCTTGTCTAGATGCTGTAGGGTTGTCCTTTCTTCTGTTTATGTGGGTTCTCTTGTTTTACTTGGGCTTTACCTGTTGGTGGCTCCTTCATTGATGGGTTCTCCCCTCCAGTAGGTTTACTGGTACTCATAACTCCCATGTTTTCTAATAAGTGATCAGGGGTAGGGAAAAGTCAAAACGGAGTAAGACGGTGAGAGGGTATTTTATGGAATTTAAAGTACTGACAAGTAGAGAACAGATAGGAGGTCCTTTGGAGAAATACAGCAAAATGTGTGATATTTCACCCAATTAGGCACTTTTTATAAAAGGTTAAAAAGAGGTAAGACTCTTATTAGAAAGGAAAAAAGAATGTGAGCTGACTTTAGAAAGGAGAGCAGTTATGCGAGGTTAGATGGCGAGATGTAGTGGCAGAGTGTGTGAGAGAATAAAGTTAACCACAACAGTAATAAAGCTCAGGAAGGTGGGGAAATGGATTAAGACTAGGAGAGGGTGCTGGGTGGGATTTGGAATAACAATAATATGATTAGAAATGTATAATCTGAATAAAAAGTAAAAGATAAAGAGTAGCGTGTTGTTAGACTACAAGTGAAGTGAAAGAAGAAAAATTAAACTGCACTATGAAAGAGAGAGTAAAGAAAACCAATCAAACAATAAAATCAAACAAGCAAAACAACAACAAAAGCTAAACAGAGAGAAGGGAAATAAAAAACAAATAAAAATAACAAAAAAATAATTTGCAAGTTCTAGTGAAATTTGTCTCACCTGTTGGTGTCAGGATCTGTTTTTGGTTTTCTCACACAACTCCAGATCTTTTTGTCTTACACTTGAAAAAATAGCCTCCTGCTGACTTTGAACCTGCCAAGCTGGTTTTGCTGTTCTTCCTGCTTGCTGCAAGCAAGGGGCATGGGGGGCCGGTCTCCAATTTCTTTTCCCTTTCCTGTGGTTCTGTGAGGATGGGGCCTCAGTCTGGGCTACAGTATTCATGGGTGACCAGTTTCAGGCCCACAGCCTTGGACTATAGTGTGGCCCACACTGTCCACTGCATTTATGTGCCAGGCTGCTGCCTCCAATCTACTTCGTTGAGTAACCCTTTGATTAGTCTATGAAGTGCACACAGTGGAACCAAATCTTACCCCTCCTTCTCCCTCTTTGTTGGCCTGGGCCTGCTCATGCTCATTCTCCCTTCAGAGTAGTTAAGTTCCCATATTGAGTTAAGTTTCTGTGGGTGCTGCTACCCCTCTGAACCCCTACTGCCCCCCTTTGATCGGTCCACGAGGCATCCTTCACGGGAGCAAATTGTGCCCTGCTTCCTCCTTCTTCTCTGGCCCAGCCACTGTGCGTAAGAGGACTTGGCACAGAGGCTGAGTTCTTTCTGAACAAATTCCCCTTATTTGCCGCAGGCCATTCCCAACAAGCACCCAGCTTTCCACACAGACCAACTCTCTGACCAGTCCAGAGAGTATCTAGGTCACGGCCAGTTGTGGCCCTTCTCCCATCTCCAGATATCACCCAGCTCCCCAATTTCTCTATTACTGTCCCAGCTGCTGACCATAGTTCCAGCCAGGGTATGTTGCCAGCTATGTGTCTTTTACTGCGTCTTTATCTCCACAGCAACTTTAAGCATCCAGGTCTTTCCTGGTTGGTCTGAAATTTGCTGCTTTGGGAGGGGAGGGAGCTTTAAAGTCACAATGAATGGGCTGGCTTTCCTCCAAAGCTGCTGTGGCAGCTGCAATCTCCTGGGCAGGACTGGGGGACCCTCCTGTTGGCCTACAAAAGTTCCTTGCCATCTGTTTTTTAAATTTCCTCTGCAACCTTTGGTTTCCAAACTTCATATCAGCTTAAATCCTGTTGGTGGTCACTGTTCCTCGAAAGATTGGCTAGGTGTCCCAGTTGGGTTGGGTTCATGAGCAAGTGGGTTCAGCTCCCACCTTCCTCGCCACCATCTTCTGGACCAAAATTAATATTTATTAATATTTTGTACCAGATAAAATAATTCTATCTTTTAAGTTTAAAATTACTGCTTTCATGTGTTTTATCCATCTTCATAAGGTGCAGAGGTTTCTTCAACATATTATGATATAGTATAACAGTTGAATGTGGACTCTGTGTTCTGGCTGTCCGAGTTTAATCTCTGTTCTGCTAGGTATTATCAAAATGGCCCTGGACAGAATTATTGAGTTCCTGTGTCTTTGTTGTTCAACTATTAAGCTTAGATTAATACTTGGTTGTTTTGAGATTTAATCACAGTGGGCACTTAGAAAAGTGACTTAAATCTAGTGGAGAGCCAATGAATGTTACTATCATTAACCTTAAAAGTAAACTTAGAGAAGATTTTAAAATTGAGACTATTCTGAAATCCTAATTTAAAAAGACAATTGTGGATTGGCCTTACTGAATATGCATCCCTACACTCATCCAAGGTTGTGTTATTTTAGAAATATTGTGCATATAAAATTAATAATGTGTTTGATTGTATTTTAATAAAGTATTTAACCAAAGAAAGTTTACAGTATTTTTATTTCTATGATACATAATTAGTACATTTAATTAAATTTTTTTATTTAGCAACTCCCATGATATGTTTCCTTAAATATGTTTATATTTACAACTTCAACTGTTGTCCACATCAGTTCTTTTTGGAATTCCTTGGGGCTCATATTGGATAAGATAAGAAATTATTATATGGTCCCACGTGTTGCTGAAAACAAAAATGATATGAAAGCAAAATATAATATTTTAAAACATTTCCATAAAAATGTCTCTTTTGTCATTCTTTTTACTTTTCAGAGATTAAAGATTATCCTGCCAGAATGTTTTGTCTCTCTACATTCAAAATATAATTAAAATTTTCCCTGGCTGGTGTAGCTCAGTGGAGTGAGCACAGGCCTGCAAACCAAAGGATCGTGGTTTGATTCCCAGTCAGGGCATGTGCCTGGGTTGCAGGCCAGTTCCCAGTGGGGGACTCATGAGAGGCAACCATACATTGATATTTCTCTCTCTATCTCCTTCCTTTCCCCTCTAAAGATAAATAAATAAAATCTTTTAAAAAAGATTGAGATCTTGCTTAAAAAAACCAGTAAATATATAATTAAAATCTAATATTTGTTTAAAATATGATTCTCCATTTCCTGAAAGTCTGGAAATCAGAAATTATAAACAGGATAATCTTCTCTTTCTTACCTATTTTAACAGCAATTCCCGAGTTTGTAACACAAGTGAATGTTGCCTTGGAAGCCCTAAATAAAAACTCTTTGGATGTGTTTGACGATAATCAATTTGTGGACATCTCAAAGAAGATCTATGATACAATTCATGATATCAGATGCTCAGTCATGATGATTAGGGTAAGTTTCCTTTACCTTCCATTGAATTATTCCACTCTTTACCATCTGGAATGCCTGGAATGGTTACAAGAAATGTTTTATTTCTATGCCATAATGTCAATGTTGAAATTCACTTCAAATTTAGAAATTCATATGCATCCCCAAAGTCAGATCTACTGTCACAAACAATACTTTTACTTGTGTATTTGGTTATAACTTATGCAAATGAGCACCTTTAACTGTCCTGTGTGCAGAAACGACAAGATTCGTTGTATGTAGAATTTGTTGAGCTGTCATGTAGCATGATCAGGAGCCAAATAAAAATACATAAAGTAGTTTGCTTTCTTTTCTTAGAAAGAAAGTAAAGGGTCTTTCTGATCACTGTACTGAAGTTGGTAGGAAAAGATCTTTACAACAAGTTATTTCTATGGCCAATCTTCTTCATACTTGATCAGAGAATCACAGTGTTCTGTAACAAATGTCACCTCCAGCTGCCAGGAACAGCTGCCTCGGTCTAGGAGTTGTCTCTTTGGGGGAATATGTGTCATCTTCCCAAGGGTAAGTTTGCTTCCCAAGGGTGAGCCACAGGTTGTGGGCACAGCACATATACAGAGACCAGGATTATTTGTTTTTACTCAAATGTTAATGTGTACTCTTGTTTCAATGTTATTTAAGAAACAATGGACACTGTTTGGAAAATGTACAGGTAATTATATAGAGATATCTTATCTTAGGATAGGTTTGCCTGGAAGTAGACACTGTGGTAAAGATATGTGTTACCATTAGTCTACTTAGGGACAAGTGAGAGAGGAAACATGAGGCAGGAAAGAAGATAAAACTGTAATGTGTATTTATGAATCACTGTGGGCAACGGGCTTGATGCTACTGGGAAACTTGGGTGGGGGTCCACTGTAGAGCACTCTTCAGAATTATCTCACAAAATCCAATTTATCCACCTGTTCATTCCTGGTTAAAGGCTACCCCTCTTCAGAGGTGTTACCAGAGCCTCCTGCCTCAGCTAATCAAGCCCTTGTGGCCAAAATATACAACCTTCAGGCGGGGTGGCAGATGCTTGCAGTAAGAAGATTCAGTAGCCCTGAGGAGTGAAATTAATTATGAGTAGAGTTAAGTTTGAAAGCCTTTGGATTTGACTATTCTAAAGACAACAAGATGGAACTAGAAGTGCTGTGGAGATACAGGAAGGGCATCAATAGTATCCAATGGGCCTGAATGTCATAGTTAGGTTCATTTTGCAGTCCATAAAAATGGAGTCGGTTAAGGACTTTGTAAGGAAAGGGGTCAACAAAAGTCAAGCACCCTGGCAGGCTTAAAGAAAAAATGTAGAGAAAAAGTAGAGGTGTAGGATCTAGTGCTTCAGAACTTGAGAAAACCTACAACCAAGCCAGTTATAAATAGAAGAGAGAAACCTTGGGATATATATTTGTGGCCAGCCTGGAAGTATTTGTTCCTATGTGATTGGGAAGTGTGGCCCTGTACCAGTGCTATGCCTGGACTGCAAAGTTTCTTTACCAAATACATTCTTCTAAAAAGGTCTCTATGCCTTCCCTGTGTGCACTAGTGGACTAGTAATAACCCAAGGTTGGAAGGATAGGAAGAACTAGAACAGAAACAGTGAAAGTGTGAAAAAGACACCCCTACATTTCCAGTAACCCCTGTGTATATCTGAGAAGTGAAATAGCATAAGTGAACCAGTGTCAGGAATGCATGTTTTTTCCTGAAAAAAAGAATACAGAATAATGTTTTATAAATAGCTCTCATTTGGATGTTCCATGATTTTAAAATTTCCTTATTATCAAAATGGCTTACTTGTAGTGTATCAAATTATTTCACCATTATTTCTATATATACCTCATATTCAGCAGTCTTCTGTAGGGCAGAAGACCAATTTGTTGCAATTATTAACAGCCTTAGAAGGAAATAATTTTTCTTTGTAGTCATCTCTTTTTAAAGGTAAATACTGTCATTTCTTTTAGCACTTCCTCATAGGAGTAACAGTATTTGTCTTCTTTGCTAGTCTGTACTTAATTTTTCAGCAAACTTCTCAAGTGAAGCTATTAAAGAGTATAATCTTATTAGGACCTGTTAAGTAAAGAGGAACACTTGTTCTTTAAGTTACTGCTATCAATACGGGCAGCTTCTGTTAGCCTGCTTTCCCTCTTAAACACCATGACTGTGGGGTGGACAATGACTTTCTTCTAGTTCTATATTTTCCCCAGTTTTTGCAGATGTATTTCTTATCCATTTTGATTTGATGTGTTTGTTCTTGGTCTTAACTTGTAATCCAATTAAACTTCATTTTATATATAAATGATCCATATATAACTTATCAAGTTGCTATTGAATTTGATTATTGAACATACCTAAATTAACATCAGTTAGAAACATGAGATTATAATTTTAGCTCCTTCATCTAGATTACCAATAAAAATATAACACACACTGGCCCTTTATCTGACTGGAATCTCTGCCAGATAGCTCCAGTTACAGGCATTAATATCAAGAAAACTTAGAATCTCACGTTCAGTCTAGCTGAACCTTAATAGTTTTCCATGCATAGTGCACAGTGTTCCAACTAAGTTTTTGAGGGAAAAATAAGGATATGCATTTTACATGAGTGGTACTAATTCCATGTTTATATAAATGTTTTTAATTCTTTTATTTGTGTTTATGAATTAAAAGTGTAACTCTAGAAAGCAATACCAATATCTGTATGCAAAATAATACCCTGGGATACAATAATTGGGTTTTATTTCTAAATACAAATAAATACAAAATTGAATTTAAAAAATTGAAATGAAAGATTTTTTTCCTGGAAGTTTGGGCCAAAACCATGGGTGAGCATTACACACTAGAATGATGGTTGGAAAGGCAGCCTCTAACAGAACCTCAACAGAAACTCTACAGGAATTTGGTGAAGGGTAACTCATACAACTCTATGTAATTGCTAATTGGATTAGAGGATGAGAATAGAAGTCTAACTCAGGTGTACAACCCATGGACATGAACTAGAAAGGGATGCAGGTGGGAGGTGGAATGCAGGGCAGAGAATGATAGAGGGGGAGAAAGGGGACAACTGTAATAGCATGATCAATAAAGTATATTTAAAAAAAGAAAATTACTTTTCCTCCTTTGAGGACTGTTCCTTTATCATAGAAGATAAAATTGATCCAGTATAACCATCTCTTTATAAGACCAGATTTAATGCTGATCAATATCCTGACCTTAGAAATGAAAAGTGTTTGAAGAGTGTATCTGAGGAGTGTCAACATTAAGGCAATATATTTACAATTATGCAAGTTCAGGGAAGGATAGGCTATGATCTTGAAGACGTTCGTGAGTGTTGGAAAATGCTGTCCCAAGACTGAATTTTCATGAATGCTCTCCAATGCCCTCGAGACAATAAAACACTCACTTATAATCAGAGACTGATATTTTATAGGAAATGTTATAACATGTGATTATATCTGCCTTTGGTATTTATTTAATTGAATAGTTATTTTAACAATTAATTGTTCAGGTTATTTTTAGAAAGTTCTAAGATAAGAAGTTCTGGCCAAGATGGAGGCATAGGTAGAAATCCTTCATTTCCTCACACATCCAAAAGTAGGGTAAAAACCAATCTAAAATCAGTAAACAACCAGAAGTGCCAGAAAATCAAACTGCATGGAACTGTGACAACCAAGGAATTAAAGAAGCACTCAACCAGAACAACCAGACCAGTAAGAACCTGTGGCCACATGGGTGGGGCTGGTTGAATGGGAAGCTGAGCTGAACTGAGACTCAGAGCTGACTGTGGACTATGGCAGTTGCTGCAGTGGGAGAAACTCCCAGTCTCACATGAGAGTTCATTGAAAAGTGGGCTAGAGCCAAGGAGGGGAGCTGTATTGTTCCCTCTCTGCCCCCCACAACAGGCAGCTCCATGGTGCAGCAAAGAAGGTTGCCCTGCCTGTGTGAATACCTAGGGCCCCACCCTCTTACAACTTATAGCTGCCCCAAGACAAAGAAATATGGCCCAAATGAAAGAACAGAGCAAAACTTCAGAAAAAGAGCTAAGCGATAAGGAGATAGCCAACCTATCTGATGGAGAATTTAAAGCTCTGGGAATCAAAATGCTCACAGAGCTGATTGAGCTTAGTCTAAAAAAGAAAAACAAAAACAAAAACAAGTAAAAGATACCCAAAATGAAATAAAGCACAATATTCAGGGAACCAGCAGTGACAGGAAGAAAACCAGGACTCAAAGCAGGGATTTGGAACAAGAGGGAAAAATAAACATTCAACTGGAACAGAATGAAAAAACAAGAATTCAGAAAAATAAAGAGAGACGTACAAACCTCTGGGCCAGCCTGAAACATTTCAATATCCAAACTATAGGGGTGCTAGAAGGAGACGAATAACAGCAAGAAATTGAAAACTTATTTGAACAAATAATAAGGAAAACTTTCCCAATCTGGTGAAGGAAATAGACTCCAGGAATTCCAGGAAGCCCTGAGTCCCAAAGAAATGAGATCCAAAGAGGAGCACACTAAGGCACATCATCATTAAGTTACCCAAGATTAAAGGTAAAGATTGAATCCTAAAAGCAGCAAGAGAAAAGGAGACAGTCACCTACAAAGGAATGCCCATAAGATTCTCAGCTGATTTCTCAAAAGAAATCTTGCAGGCCAGAAGGGGCTGGAAAGAAGTATTCAAAGTCATGAAAGTCAAGGACCTACATCCAAGATTAATCTATCTATCAAAGCCTTCATTTAGAATGGAAGGCAGATAAAGTGCTTCCCAGATAAGGTCAAGTTAAAGGAGGTCACCATCACCAAGCCTTTATTATATGAAATATTAAAAGGACTTATCTAAGAAAAAGAAGATAAGCAATATGAACAATAAAATGACAACAAACTCACAACTATCAACAAATGAACCTAAAACAATGAAAACAAAACTAAGCAAATAGTAGAATAGGAACAGAATCAGAGAAATGGACATCACATGGAGGATTTTCAGTGG